CACTGTGTTGGCGCATCCTAACAAAAAATCGTTGGGTGTTAGCGGCTCGAAATAATCCAGTCCCGTGTAGCTGAATGGCCTCACATACGCGGTAAGCCTATCGATTGGTAGGGGCCCCATAAGCGGTGGGACTGGAGCGGCTTTGCTGAGGCGACATACTTGGCAGCTGGCAATCACGCTGCGTAGCACGGTTCGTAAGCGAAGTACCCAGTAAGTCTGGCGGATTGTGCAAATTGTGGCCTCTATGTTCTGATGGCGCATCAGGTTGTGGTGGTGGGCTACGACCAGCTTGGTGAAAGGGTGCTTGGACGGCAAAATTATGGGACGTCTCGCGCTCATCGGAAGCCAGCTAGCTGCGTCAATGCGTCCACAAACACGAAGCGTACCTTCCTCATCAACATACGGAGAGAGCTGACGTAGTGGGCTGTTGCGTGCGACTTCTCGGACTTTCCTAATACGCTCAATCTCGGGGCCAAAATGTTCGTTCTGTACAAGGCGGCATATTAGTAGCTTCGCTGCTTCAACGTCAGCTGATGTCAGGCCATAGCGACGTTTGGCTGAGTTAGGATGACGGCATAGATTGATGAAATGAAGAACCCAAGCTACCGTTCTCACCAATCTGTTGAATGTAGAAAAAACGATCAAAATCTAAAAAGCGACTACTCACGATGACCATGGCATATTTTGGTCGCAGCTCCTCATCGAGTTCTCCCTTTTGAGTGACGCTGACCTCGGCAGTGGGCCAGTAACATTCTTCTTGGCGCAGAAATGGTGGACCCTGAATCCAGCGGGAAGTTGAGGTAAAGTCGACTTGGCTGCTGAAACGCGTGGCTTCGTCGGCGACGTTGTCCGCAGTGGGTACCCATCTCCAGTCAGACGCGCTTGTAGATGCCAGTATTTCAGCCACTCGGTGCTGTACGAAGGGTTTGTATCGTCGGTGCTCACTGCGAATCCATTTCATCACAGTTGACGAGTCGCTCCATAGAAGGCAATCATTTACGACGACGGAGTGCTCTTCACGAATTGTCTGCATTAACCGGGTTCCCAAGACGGCTGCTTGCAGCTCTAGCCGCGGTATAGTGAGCGGTTTCAGCGGAGCGCACTTAGTCTTCGAGCATACGAAACTAACACTCACCTCGTTCTCATAGTTGACTACCCTCCAGTAGGCGACGGCGGCGAACGCGTCCTCGCTGGCGTCCACAAAAATGTGGAGTTGCAAATCTTTGGGCTTACCATTGCAAAAGTAGAACCTGGGAATGGCGTATTTGGTGACGGCTAATAATTGTTTGCGCCATCGTTCCCACACAGTTCCGATGTCGCTTGGCAATGGTTCGTCCCAGCGCGTATTTCGCCTCCACACCTCCCTCATAATTAACTTAGCGCCGATAATGAAGTGACTTAGAAAGCCCAGTGGGTCAAAAACTGACATAACCACGCTAAGGAGTTCACGTTTTGTTGGGCGTTTGCCACCGTTAACTACTTGAGGGTCAACTTTGTTAAAATGCAAATTAAATTTAAACTTATCTGTTGACGGCTCCCAATATAGACCGAGAACCTTCTCAGTCGCCAGACCTTCTTTGCTAGCAATCAATTTCGTATCTTCTGCGCCACCCAAAGCTGCAACTACCTCTGGTGAATTTGAAGCGAAATTTCGGAGCTCGAAACCGGCGTCCAGATGAATGGCTCGAACTTCTTGCGCGATGGAGATGGCTTCTGCAGGCGAGTCGAAAGCATCAACGAAGTCGTCGACATAGTGGTAGGCCAATATTGATTGCACCGCTCGGCTTGTGGCGTTAATGCGATGCTCGAGCGCATTTCTAGTTTTGACATAGTGCGCTGCACATGGCGAGCAAGCAGCGCCAAATGTCATAACGCACATCTCGTATACGTCCGGTTGCCTACCACTATCGCCGTTGCGCCAAAGAAATCGTTGGGCGCACCTGTCTTCGGGTTGCATCAACACCTGGTGAAACATTTCCTTAATGTCCCCAGATACTCCGACTGCTCCTTCGCGAAAATGGAAGAGAATCGACGGCAGAGGTCGATACTCTTGCGGACCCTTCAGCAGCATGGAGTTCAAAGAGACGCCGTTGACCTCAGCTGCCGCGTCGAACACCATACGTATCTTCGATGGCTTATTGGCATTCACCACGGCAAAATGTGGTAAATACCAAGTGTGAGGCTTTACCACTGAGGCTTCCGATGGGTCGAGCTTGCGTGCATACCGCTTTGCAATATAGGAGTCCATCGTTGCTTTGTAAGCTGCTGCGAAGCCTGCGTCTCGGCTCATGCGCCTCTCGATACCCACCAGTCTTTTTAGCGCCATGAAGTAACTATTAGGTAGATAGAAGTCATCTCGCTTCCAGATAAGACCTGTTTGGAATCTAGCATCAACGCGACGTGTGACCGAATCTAAAATAGACTTGGCACGACTATCAGCTGCGCTCTCGATTGCTGGTGACGAGCGCACCCCGAAATTTTCGACAGCAAAGTAGCCAGCAACCAGGTCATGCAGGGATTCATCGCTCGCAGAATTGATAAGTAGGCAAGAAGGCGTAGCTGGCAGGCGTTCACTTGTTGGCCCAAACACCACCCAGCCCAATTCGGTGTTGGCGGCGAAAGGACCATTTGTTCTCATCCTCAAAGTAGTTGATGGCAGGCCTAAATGGCAGTGGTCGAGACCAATGAGAAGCTTTGGCATCACCCCGATGTATGGCTGAACTGGCAACTGACGTTTGTACTTGTCGTCGCAGTGTAAGTCTGCTCTGCATAAACTTTGTGAAGGCAACTGTAGATTCGACACCGCATACACATTTCGAAGCGTGTGCTTCTTCTTCATGCCGCATCCACTAATAGACAAGCTTACCAAGATCGAAGGCTCTTGCGCGGAGCGACCACCAAACCATTGTATGTTAAGGCGCTGTTGTTGTCCTTGCAGTCCCAACTCCAGGGCTAGTCCGTTATCCAGCATCGTGACTGAGGAGCCTTCATCCAGCAATGCGTATGTGTCGATGCTCTTGTGATTTCCATATAAAGTGACCGGTAGTATACGAAACAACAGCTTACCTTCAAATGCGTTAGCGGAGCAGCTTAGAACAGCAGCTTCTGCGTCACTCGATGAATGCTGGCGTTGAGATACTTGTTGCGCTGGCGTATGACTACTGCTGTGCTGTTGGCGTGCCGCACGCTGCGATAGTGCTTCACCCCCATTGCGACTAGGTGGTGGTTCTGGATGCGAGTTATTCATACTGCCTGAAACCTCATGAAGCAGTTTGTTGTGCATTCGAGGGCACCCATTGATGGAGCACGGTTTCCTTCGATGGCAATCACGTGTCGAGTGACCGGCTTGCAGGCAGGCGAAACATAAGCGACGTGATTTTGCTTCCTTCCATCGGTCTGCTACTGTTGACTCAATAAAGCGTTTGCACTCAATTGCTGTGTGAGCACCCTGACAGATTGGGCATCTTCGTGTATGCTGCTTTTTATCTACATGTAGGACCACTCTACGCTTCGAATCTCGTCCGTGCTCCTCGTCATAAACAATACAGATCACGTTGGCAAGTGAACTGATCCATTCGCTAAAATGGACCACAGTGGCCCGAGGCTTGATTGTAGATGCAAAGGTACCCCA